TCCGCACTAGCCTCTCGGGCTACATGGATAAGAAAAAACATTCGCAAAAGGCTAACATTTTCGCTGAAGACCCTTTGACGATCCTTTCCAACAAGTCCCTGAACCCCAAACCTACCAGGACCTGAAGCCGCCCGTAACACCTTTTGGAACCCCTGACCTTCGCCAACTTCGCTGACACATCCTGGCAGACAACCAATGATTCCGGACACTTTGCCTGCCAAGGCCAACTCAAACAGGTAGCCGTACAAAGACTCCCCAAGAAGATCTCGATTTTTTGTCTGATTCACCTCTAAGAAAGCCTCATCACCCTCAGCCTTCCACCCTGATAAACCCACATGAAACTTAACCAAAACCCTCTTGGCACGATCAAGTCTCCGCCTAGCCCTGCGATTCAAGCCTGCATTCTCAAAGTTAACTAGCGCTTGTAACCCCTGACTCTGTACTGGGATCAACTGCTCTAGGACTTCTACTGGGGCCTCAGGGAACAAACGCTTAATCACCGCAGCTATGGCTACCTCGCGGGCCTCTTCATTCCCTGCTGCCTTTTGAAGCATTGCGGACAACGTCACTTGACTACCGCCTAGAGAGGACTCTACCATACTCACCGCCTTGACCCGAATTCTAGCCCGTTCCTCTTGTAGCTCAAGCTGCTCTATCAGCTCCAACGCCAACCGTCTAGATACCATAGGACACCCCTTAATCAAGACCGTCGGAAGGACTCCACGTCGCGGATGATGAAGCTCGAAGCCCTGTGGCCCCCATTCTACCCTAAACCGAAGCTTCTCAACCAACCTTCCTAAGGGAATGATGGGAGTAACAGCCTTCTCTGTTAGCAATGTCCCAAACTTATTCATGGCTAGAGTGGTAGTTCCGGTGGCCAGTTCAACGGAAATTTGAGTAGATTCCCTACACTCTAAGGGCGTCCCCTGTCGAAGTGCGTTTGTCGCGCCTCCATCTAGCAAACCATACTCTTCCTCGCCTTGCTTTAGATATCTCAGAGAAACACCGTTGACATCAACCGCAGTCGAACCCGGAAGAGCATTCAACGTGGCCCCGGACTCACCTACATCTTGCTCCAAACCTTCTAAGCTGGCAACTAGCCTAGATACATCGCGCGGACACACTATCACTCTACCCTCCCTGACTTCAGCAGAGATGCTCCCAAGCGAAGGAACCCAAAGCTCGATCCCATCAGGAGTCCAAGTGACCGTGCCCCCTAGACCCTGAACAAATCCACACATTGGAATAACCGTCGGGACCGTGTTCAACGTAAAGAGTGAACCACAATCCCCGCGCCTTAGCACAGTGACCCCAAGCGGAAGTGAGACTGAGCAATCCTTCGCGCATCGCCACTGCTCGATTTCTGCCCTTCTACAAATTCTATCCGCGCCCGAATCCAAAATACCTTCTGAAACCGAAACGGAATCACACTTCAACCCTCGAATTGTAAGCGTGTTACACTGATGGGCTTCTAGGCGATGCGCACCACTAAGCAAAACAGACGAAGATTTCTCAGCTAGGGAATCAGCCGCATCATGATCCTCAACAGAAATAGTGATCCCTTCGCAGCCCGGAGCATCAACAGCATCAGCACCACCACCATATCCAAATCCCAACGCTTTCCAAATACTCTCTGCTTCCGCCCCGTAAGAACTCTCGGAAAACCCTATACCGCCCTTCAAAGATCCCAGCTCTCCACTTGCATGATCACAAAAGGCGCTGCTGGGGGCTGCCACAATCCTTGCAAGCTTCAAGCCCTTCAGAATCCTCAAAGCCTCTGCCTCGACATGCTGAGTGGATGGACCCGCTACTTCCGAAGATGAGGAATTGGTAGCCCTCCCAGCATCGCCACTCTCGGGTGAGGCAGCTGCGGAACTACCGGCATCAGTGGTGACAGCGGCGACTGCCGCGCCACCCTTCTTGCCCTTCTTCCCTTTACCTTCTTTACCTTTTCCGCCTTTGCCCCCTTTCGCACCCTGAGGAGAACCAGATCCTGAACTCTGACCAGATTCTCGGTTAGCAACAGGACACTCGGGACGACGGTGCACATTATCAGTTGAGCCACAACAATAACACAACCCCCGTTTACCTGCCTCGGCAAACTGATGCTGAAAAACGCAATTATCTCCATAAGAGCAACCCTTAGAGGTAAGGTAACCCCTACACAATGCCTTCGCATCAGCTTGCGGAGACTTCGGTTCGGAACTAACGCTACCACCAGCGGACTCTGCCTGTGACTTAGAGCCTTTCTTGCCTTGACCTTTGCCTTTCTCAGAACCCTTGGCTCCCTGACCCTCAACGTCAGTCTTGGCGAGCTTCGGTTGTTTCTGAGGACGCTGGGGGCTCTCGGTTGTTCCCGGGGCATGTATCGTAGTTAATTCCAACTCTGCGATATACAACTGCGTTAGCTGGTCGACCTTTTCATGGTTGGGGGCGTAATCTATACGGTTTTGTTCACGCCAAGCTGACACACGAAACTGTGGCCCTGGAAGCGCAGTCATGACAGCCTTAACGATACTATCGAGCCCGTTCAACCTTAACGATGGGTCTGGCAACTGCGCCCGTACTTCCAACAATCGCCTGTTCACGCGCTGCCACTTACGCACCGACTCCAACGCTTGAGAAGATGTTTGGGCCGTAGGAGGGGTAACAACAAAGGCTAACATCGACGATTTGTCTGATGCTGATCCTGGCTGAATCCGGCACAAGGCCCTAAACAAGAGCGCGGTAGCCGAGACATTCCTCGCTGCAATGGCATCACTCTTCACTCCTTCTGGAAGTGCCCTCAAAAGCATTATAACTACGCGCTGTTCAAGCAACGAGAAGCGGCCTTTCTTAAATCGCTCCCCATGTGGGTCTGGAACTAGTCCAATCCGAAGTGTGGGGGATGCACGCAACCACTGCTCGTACGCCGATTCTGCTGAACGCACAATGTTTGACCAGTAGATCCCAGCGCTAGGGCTAAGAGAACTCACTATCGGCGACGACTCCGCTAACCAGTCACTCAAAATAGAGCTTGGGTCCATAGTTTCGAGTTTAAGAACCGGGAGTTCAGGAACGTACTTTTCCAGTCTCTCTGGGGCTTCGTGCTGGTCACTCCGATCTTGATTGCTGACATCCGAAGCTATATCATAAACCTCCGCATCCCCGAAAGCCACCTTTCCACCTGGACTGCCTGCTGGCACTGGTGTCCCCCCGGGCGTGCGTCTCCCCCTTTCGGAAGCTGCCGCAGTCGCCCGTGGAGTCACGGGAGGAGTGGTCAAAGGCGGTGCCGGGGTCACAACAGGCACCGCTACTGGCGGTGGAGGAGGAGCAGGGCTACTCCCAACACTACTGAAATTCTGATCAATCACCTGCACTCCCTCAGGCACCGCTATGGGCAAACCCAGCTGAGGATGATACAACCACGTCAGACCCCGACCAATCTCCAATCCTTGATTGAATGATGTTTGGACTGAATTTGGCAAAGACAGCGGAGGCAGCGGAGGCATCCCCGGCGGGACTGACGGCACTGGGGGTGCCCCTGGGACCATCCCAAGCCCATCACTCGGCCCAAAAAGATCAAAGCTGTGAAAGGACTCTTGCGCAGATGCGCTACCCTCACTAACTTGACCAACCGGTCCTTGACCGTGTGGTGGGTCTTCCGCGGCTCTTTGTCTGGGGGAATCAATCCGATAATGAGGTATCTCCATTCTTAACCAAGGGTTACCCGCACTCCCTCCAGCAGCCAAATTCCCGTGAACGATAGGACCCAGCAAACCCCTTGAGGCCTGACCCTGCGAAGCTCCCAGAAGTGCCGATCTTCCCTGCAGCTGTTGAAATGGAGATACTTGACTCATTGCTCCCGTTATGGCCGGTTGAAGGCCTTGAGCTTCCCCTTCAGGCATCTCCCCAGCTGAGTTTGTCCCTCGAGCTAATGCCTCGTAGTGCCTATCCAAAGCCCCATGATCCACCCAACCCAACTGGGATCTTTGGCCTGCCGACCACCGGCTAGACTGCTCGGAGCTTTTAGCCTCCTCCAACGATTGAACCCGACTGCTCAGAAGATTCATCGACATCACCACCTCTTCCATAAGCCCTTCAAGCCGAGAATCTCTTCCGCTACGATGTCCTGACTCAGCTTGAGAGGCTTGCCCCAATGGCGACGACGCAGCTGCCCTACCAGCTGACTCCAAAGATCCCTGATGCTGCTGCCGACCCTGCTCGTCTGGCGAAGCGCTGACACCATCCGCTGCTCCCACCCTCCGAGTGCAGGAACTTAGCGCTTCTGGAACCTCAAGAGCCCTCTGACTCTCATCATTTCCAGCTTGCTGACCCTCCGCCACTGGAGTCACTTGATCATCTATGGATTGCCTAATCTGCCTAGAGATCTCACCTTCAACTCCGCCACCGCTTCCATCAAGCGGACTTACTGACTGTTGTCCAGATCCTCTGGGCTCTGGTCGTCCTGCGCGGCCTTCCGTATCCAAACCAGGAACACCATGCCGGGCACTTCTATCCACGGGATCGGCCATCGACCCTTGCTCCAACGACACATTCCCGGAGACAGACTCCATCCGCCCTCTCATGTCCACATGTGCTCCATAATCTGGATCCCTGACTTCTTCATCCACCCTCACTTCTCTTGGTTCATCATCGGCTGTCTCATAAGCATCTCTCGACATGGGGGTGGAGACTGCTGACCTTGACGCTCGCTGACGACTGCTACGAAGATCCGGATCCATTTCAGTAAACTAGACGTACACACGAATGTAGATCAACTCCCTAAGGATTAAAAAGCACTAGACCCCTACCTAACACCCAAGTATCACGAGGAGTACGCAATACGTGCCCTTGGGCTCCTAACCTAAAGATCACGTAGAATGAAAGGTAATGTTAGGAATGGATCTTGATGTTTTCACGCTTGGTTTTCTCACTCTTCAGCTCGATGTTAAAAAAGGCCTTCGAACAGACAGCAGTGCTCCGCTCAACTCACATAGGGTTTAGTGTTTAGGGCCCAGGAATCGACGGGGACGCCATGAGCGGTGGAGCCACCTTCCAGACCATTGCCAGCGAGCTGAAGCCATGCAGGAGGGAGCGTCTCGCATGCCGCACGTTTGTGCGTTGACGTTTGCGAAACCGCTTAATTAATCCTTGTCGCAGGGTGAGCGCTTTGATCTACGATGCCGAGGCGCGACTTTCAGTATGTTTGCTCCATGTGGGTGGTCGTCAAAATTAGGGTCCCTTTTTGGGCACCCCTAATATTAAGTGCCATATACTATATCAGGGACCCAAAGAAGAGAGCATAATTTGACAACCACCCATGCCTTTGGCTGCAGTCGAACATGACCCTCAACCCTGCCAGGCTCTTCGCTGCAACTCCGTTCCGGAATTGGCAGCCTGCTACAACCGGAGAGTGCCGATCTCGTGAGTGCAGATCGTGATAGTTGACTACATTACAGTTTGTGATTGCTTCGGAAGGTGCTCGCAGACAGCGGTGAGGGCGAAGCGCAGGCAAGCCACCGCTCAAAACTGTTTCAATGTGACAAGTATAATGCTTTATGATGTGCGGAGGCCACAGCCCCGATTATCGTTGCAGGCACGCATTTGTCTGCGTTGAGTGCGGGAGACGTAGAGCAATTGACGGGGCAAGCTTGCGTGTGGTAATTTCTCGCTCCGGCCTTTGCAAGAGGCTACTCCTACGGCTGTGTCCTTGCGCACCAGATGGGCCTCCAGCTTCACAAGGCAGGTCTTAAAGCGTTGCCAAAAGGTTCAGGCAGTCGTGCCGCAAGCCAGGCCGGCGTGCACGTCGGCGTGGTGATGTTCGACCTGGAGGTGTGGATCATCCTGGATCCACGCAGAGAAGTGCAGATTCCAAGTTGCAGTGCTCCCTCCAACCTGAGAAGGTCACCTGGCCGCCACCGGAAAGCAACGATCGCATCGGCGGATACAAATTCCTCGGTGGCGAAGCAGAGGCTTTCTGCAGTTTGCGGCAGATTTGTTCGGAGGCAATAAGGCAGGCTTGTGGCTTGTGGGGACACAGCCAGGCGATCCTGCTCATCAGCCGTGCGCTGGGGAAGTTTGAGTTCGCCATGAAGGTGCTCGTGCAGCGTGTGGCAAGCGCATTTGTCTGAACTGTGCTGCCGTGCCTGGCCCTTACAGGAGGCGGTGGAGCTGAACAGCACTCTGGCCGAAACCGGCAGCCAGGATCTCAGCTGCAGATCTTGTCGCGTTTAGGGTTTACCCATAGGCCCCATAGTAGTTCCTTTTTGGGATTACCGTATAGAATTCTATATGTGAACCCTAAAAAGGAACTACTACTGTATGGGTTGTGCTTAGGGTTCTGGTCAGGATTGGCTTTGTCAGCGGTCTCAGCTTTAAGGGTTGACACGATCGGACATGCTCCTCATCTCTCAGTGCGAACATCATTGAACATCGTATAATTAGAATAGGGTTTTGGGGTATGTGATACTATAGTTATAATGAGGAACCCACCCAAAAATGGTATTGGTAATTAGTTTTAGTTTAGTTTTGGTCCCTACATTAATGAGGGGGCCGGCGGGGGGGGGTTCAACTTCGGCAGGGTCTTCCTTCTGTGGGGTCAGGCTCTCTTTTTTGGAGCGTGTTTACTTTCACTAGCGTTGAGCGTAAACACCGGGCCTGCGTCCCGCTTCTTAATCGCATACCAGTCTTACAAAAGTTGAGACACAGTACTTGGGGGCCCTTTTGACTTAGTAAGTCTACTTAGTATCCCCTAGAAACCCAATTATAATCCCCATAACCCACCTTACTAACCCTACTTACTAAGTCAAAAGGGCCTCCAAGTAAGACGACTAAAAGCCTCGCCAGGCATTGACGTGGATGCACTACGCGAGCGTGCCTTTGAGCACCTGGCACAGCGTGGGATGCTGCTTGGCTCGCAAATACTTTGTGAGGAGTATATTGTAACATATACGTAGTATAGCACACCATACCATACTATACTTGGCTATGCTATGATATACTGCGCTTTACTTTACGATAGTATACTCATAGTATTATACTAAACGTATTTTACGTATTTTTATACTCATACGATATCGTTATTACACTCATACTTTACAAGTACTATGCTAAATGCTAAAGCTACATTCAGACTAGAGACTCCCATACTACACTATGCTACTATAATATACTTTGCCCTACTATAACTATACTATATATATATATATATATATATTACAACATGCGATAGTAACATGTACTGCAATGTCAGATGGCCAAAGGTCATAGAAGTATCCCTCCTGTGCGAGTGTTTAGTCATAGTGTAAACTCTTCGCAAGGTCCAAGGAGCTGTTCATCTGCATCCTAAACCCTAAACCCTAAAGCCCGAAATCCTAAGCCCTAAACCCCAAACCCCAACATCCTAAACTCCAAACCCCTACACCCACCTCGAAATGCTCTAAACCCCTCCTTGCGAGGTCCAAGGAGCTGTTCACGCAGCTGGCACGAAGCTCAGCTCTGGGACCTGTTGAAAGTTCAGGATTTTGGGGTTTGTGATTTAGGGTTCAGGGTTTACGGTATAGCGTTTAGGGTTTGGACTTTTGAAAGTTGAAGTTGGTGTAGAAGCCCAAAAGTTGGAAGCCGAGTAGCTTCAATCCTTGAGAGTAACGGAGTAACGTATAGGGAATCCCAGCACCATTTGGCAACAATCCGATTTCAAACTTTCTGGGGAGTTTTCTGCGGCATCGCGGCTTGGAAGGCAGTCGAAGGAGTTTGAAAGCCACGTGCAAGATCGAACGTGTCGAGGTGAAGCGTGCTGGGATCAACATCCAGCAGCTCCACACCATTGCTGATCCCTGGGAACCGTGCGGGCCCTATGGATGTTGTAGGATTTGGCTTGGACCCCCTCATGGATTTACATCTTCAACTTAAAGCGCTCGAATGCTGAAGAGGTAGCCTAATAAACACATGCACACAAGTTTTTGGGCAGTCCGAAACAATGTGTAAGTCTGCATCGGATCCATTGGTCGTGCAAAGCACTCTCCGTTGATTGATGACGGCTTTGGCTCAAGAGCTGTTGCGACCACAGTCTCCACAATGCTCACTGATTGCACACTGCCAGACACACTGCGTCTATTGTCGGAGAAGGACGCATGCCGTCTATCGGCAGTCTGCAAAAGACTGAGAGCAGCGGTGACAAGCCTACCCGATTTGAGGGTGGCAGCAGCCCTGCAGTTTGATGACTCGGACTCGGACAGCGGCTCCTGGGACGACACCACAAGTATAGGCGTGAAAGGGGAAGGGGGTTTCGACGGCGTTCACATAGTGAAGGTCCAAGTTTTCTCTCCAACTCCAACATACCGTACCTTCTCGCGATTAATGTTATTCGAAAGGCCATGCGAGTACGACTTCTTGGAAGCCTTAGATGCAGAAAGTGGAGATCTTGAGGACATCGCCGGCAGTTTCTTCGACGAAAACGGCCGCATCATCCACTTGAGCACCGTCCAAGCCTTGGGTGAGCAGGTGCAGACCGGTGGCTTCTTGTACATCGACGATCTGTACAACGACAAGTACAACGACGAAAGTGACGAAAGTATGGAGCTCCCAGGGCCAGAGCTTGGAGCGATCATCCTCCGAAAAGTCCTTGCGACTATAGCAGGTCGCTGGAGTTTGTGCATGGTCACACCCGTGAATGACAGGCAGAAAACATGGTTCCTTAGGTGCGGATTCCAAGACGGATTCCATGGTCACCTTTGGGCGATCCCAGGGTATTTTTGACTCGGACTTAAATGTTTAACTCGGACGGCATGGGCTTCACGATTCGCTGCGTGTCTCTGTTCAGAGTTATTTGCAGTTTTGGCACCGCAAGTACAAAAGACATGTGGCTGTTTGTTGCCGGTTTGTGCATGTTGCCCTAGCAAGCGTGAAGTGCGGTGGCCTGCGGGGCATGAGCACATGGAAGCTTCGTGAGCCGAGGAATGAGGTCCTGGACGGCCCTGCGCTGCTGGTGCTGGCACCAGACTCGATGGAGCCACTGCCCCAAGACTGTGTCCTGTGCTGGGAGAACACAGCAGGACGTGAGCAGTTTCGCAGACGACGAGGTTTGCCACCGCCCGCGAGATCAACGAGAAGTTCTGCACCCAAATGGAGGCCGGTCCTTGCAGTCGCCATCTTCTTCCGTCGTGCATGCTGCTAATCTCCGCGAACACCACCCTCTTGGGTGCTGCCGAGGTTGTGCATGGGAAAGGAAGCCACTACAACATGATGCAGGCAAGGGCAGACCTTGAGGTGTAAACTCAAAGTCGGATAATCCTGGTGTACCACTGCCGATGCACCACCATGCATCGAGCGCAGTGGCTGTGTAGGCGTACGGAGGATGCCGTTGTGTAGTATGTTTTGGATGGTGGATGAAGTTTTCTAGACAGATGACTCAATGACTAAGCACAGTGTTGAAAGCGGAAGTCGTTGCCTACACAGGTGTGCCGGCATGGAAGCAGAGCATGCTGTTGCCAGGAAGTCAGTAGAGCGTGTCTAATATGTCTGTCTGCATGCATGCGTTCCTGCATGCAAGTATGCATGCATGCATGCATGCATGCGTCCGTGCATGCAAGTATGTATGCATGCATGAATACATGAATGCCGGTGATGTAATTATGCATGATATGTATGTATGTGTGTACGTATGCACTCAGATGTCCCCTATACGTATGTCTACATGTGGGTCCATGTGCATGCCTGTGTGCACATGAATTGCTGTAGGCGGTATGTATGTATGGATGTACGGAGGATGCATGTATGTATATATCTATGCATGTAGGTATGTATGCATGTATACATGTATGCCACTGTATTTGTGTATGTATGCATGCATGGATGTATGTATGTGTGTATGTATATATGTTTGTAACTGTATGTAACTATATTAGATTGTTTGTGTATATACCCAACTAATGTATGCCTGCATGTCTGTCAGTTAGTCCACATGTCCGCTTGTCTGTCTGTATGTATGTATGTATTTATGCGTGTATGTGCTAAAAGAAGTATTCGTGTGTATGTATCTATGCTTTATGCATACATATATACACGAACAAATACATAAGCGAATGACTTACTAGATGAAAAATGCAATAAGTAAGCAACTATGTGTATGGTTTAACACACACACATATATATATATATACATATATACATATATACATATATATATATATGTGTGTACATATATATATATATATATGAGGTGTGTACACATGTTTGGTTTATATACACCTGTGGCCATGCATCAGTTGGGTTCTGCCGTCAGGGCGAGCAAGCCGTGGTCCAAGCGCGCTGCGTGCACGACTTTTGGCGCAGGCCGTTGAAGTTGGGGTAGTAGGGATGGCCAGGTTGAGACCAGTTGCCCATCAGGAGGAGGTGGTAGAAACTGCAGGCCGCAACTGTATGCCCCAAGTACCCTGAACCCTGAACCTAACGCCCCAAACCCAGACCCTTGAACCCTCTAGCTTCGATGTTTAAACATAATCCTCAAACTCCAAGCCTTCAGGCCTAAGCCTAGCACCCTAAAGCTCTGAGCCGTTAAGCCCCCTTTCCCTAAACCTCCCAGTGCCTTGCAGAAAAAAATCTAAATCCGCGAGCCCCAGCCGCTAATTCCTGATCAATTAAACCATCATAGACTCAGAGAGCCCAAGCCTTCAAACCCTAAGCCCAAAGCCCTCCAGAGGTTGTCGGCACCTGTTCCTGCTAGTCTGGGCCCATGCGTCGAAGGCAGGGTTATGTCTTGGGATAAACTGCGAGATGCTGCCATGTCGCATATGTATGGGTTTAGGGGGAACCATGAAGGTGCCCATGGTAGGTCCTTTAACAAGGCGCTTCTTTTCTAATAAAGGACCCCAAGAAAGCCTGCAATTTGGAGAACCCCGCACCTGGTAGGAGGCGACCAAAAGCCACAGCTTAGGCTTAAGGGTTTTAGGCCAAACAGGACGACCAACCAATAACAGTGGAGAACTGCTGCAGCGCCGGGGCTGGTAGCCACTGACGGACTAGCAGCAATTTGTTTGGCGACATGTGGGTGGTGGTCCAGTTTCAATGAAGAAATGCACGGCTCACAAAACAGAGAGTGACTCGACAAGCAAGTAGCGAGAAGCAAGTGGACAGACGGTAACTGAACGTCACACCGCAAAATTAAGCAACAAACAGCTGATTCACCCGCATCCCGGGCAGCGAAGCATCAGTAGAGGGATGCCTTACCTTTGGTTAGTAGAGAATGGAAGGCTGGTAGTATTAGTAGTTATCATGGTACCCCATTCCTCCGTTCCCTACTAAACAAAGGTAAGATGCATGAGCAAGCGAGAGAGCCCAATACCCATTAATTAAGGAATATAGCCTAAACCATAGTATGAAGCCCCTTACAATTTAAGCCATATTCCTCAATTAAGGGGTATTGGGCTCTCCGGGGAGCAAGCGTGCGCCTGAGTGGTTGAGCACCTATACCCCATAGTAACCCTGGTAGATCGGCACCCCATTCTTGTTATGTCAAGCCCCTAAACCCTAAACCATACCGTAAATCCTAAACCCTAAACAGGCCCTAAGCCTTAAACCCTAAATATACTCTAAACCCAAACCCTAAATGAACCCCAAACCCTAAACCCTAAAAATACCCTAAACCCTAAGCCGTAGGCCCCTCTAAAGCATGCCACGGCCCTCAGCGCAGGCCTCTGCCCTCTGACCCAGGGCAGTGGCCACGTGCTGTACTACGTGCCCCGGTCCTCAGATTTCGGGCTCTTACTTGGAGGATCATGGGACTTAGTAAGTAGGGTTACAAATAAGGTAACTATACTCAAAACTACTTCGAACTCCAATTAAGGCACTTATAACCTTCCTTACTACTTCCCATGATCTTCCAAGAAGTAGCTGAGTGGTTACATTTTACACTTTTGAGGATAATACTACCCACTAATAAAACTAAAAGCGTACACTTTTGAAAGCTTGTGAACTCAGTAAATAAGGGCTGCTTTAAGGGATATGTGAGGGTTGGGGGTTTAGGGTTTAGGGCGTGGGAGTTTAGAGCGGTACGGTAGCCCCGGTCCTCAGGTTAAATTGGGATCCTTTTCAGGCCAGTTCTCGAAATTAAGGTCCCTTTTAGGGTCCTTCTTATAAGGGTGCCGTACGATCTTGGGGACCGTAAAAAGGATCCTAATTTAGAGAGCTACCCTTTCGGGGTTTAGGGTTTCAGGTTTCGGACTTAGGATAGATTTAGTCAGGGCTGAGGCTTTCGGGAATAGAGTGTAGGTCCAGTTGTTTTTTTTTAGAATTTCTGGTTAATTTTGGATTTGGGATTGGGTTTGGGGATTAGGATTGGGGGAATCGTTTAGGAACAAGACTGTCATCATTCTCGTTGTTGAACATCACAACAGTAAGGAGAACAAAAGCAAAATTTCAATGCCACTGTGCATCGAGTGCAGTTCCATTCGTCGAAATCCTATGACATCCTACACCACCAAATCACCACGGAGCCTTGTAGAGCCTTTTACAAAGCCCCCGTCTACCCTAAACCCCAAACCTTAAACCTTACGGAGATTTGCTTGTGGTGACCGTGTTGAAGACCTGCGGCAAAATGGCGAGCAGACGATCTGGCTCTTCCCGGAGACTGCACACCACGTCCGGAGACAGGAGCGCGGCTTTCGACTCCAGCAAGTATGACCCATCTGGGCGAAACGGGGATCTGCCAGACCACCGGGAAGGACTGGTCAGATCCGCAGCCCTCGCGGTTCAAATGGGGGAACAAATATGAGGAAGATGCGGTGATCATTGATGCCACGGGGACTGACCCGTGGGAAGTTGCCACTACTGACCCTGAGGTCATGGCGAATTACGTCATGGGGAGCGTGGCAACCGCGGCGCTACGCGATTCTCTCCCGGAGTGGTTTCTGAAGAACGACACACCGACGGCCGCAGACCTGGAGGAAATGGGCATAGCACAGAGATCTTTGGACGCCGCGGCCTCGGTGTTCGCCACATGGGGAGACAGGAGAGTCAAAGAGGCGGTGATAGGCAAGGCGAAGGATGGGTACACAAGAGTCGCGGGGGAAAGTACCATGTGGTTGGAGTACGCTAGAGACGACCAGGTGATGTTATTCGGGACGAGAGCATCCGCGGCCGTGGAGTGCGTCAACGACACGGTGAAAGAAATGAGCTTGTCTCTGGCCGTGGTGAAACGCGGCAAAGACGTGAGACTGGGCATGGTGGATGCATCCTCCATAGATTTGGAGTCGTAAGCCTGTTTGTCGGTGATCACAGAAAGAGTGGCATTCGGCATCACGGCGAGATAATAAAAAAAAAAAGCTGATGGCCGAGCAGCAGAGGTACCGCAAGCAGACCGAGAAGGTAACAACGATGCCCAGGACACTATTGACGATATGGAGACGATACCGTGGGTGCCACCGGCCTGGTCCATGTATGTGCCCTACGACGACCACCAACATGAGAACCAGTCGCCGGATGCGGAGAGCCCTGAACATCGACGGAGAGATGGCGTGAGGAGATGGGGGTCGCCGAGCTCGAGCAGCTTACAGAAGTGAGAGCCTGACGCGAAGATAGAAGGAGCCCCAGCCCTGAGTGCGTGCCTACAACGTAATGTAACTGGTGCTGTAATTACTTACTCCTGTACTTCTAGCAGCAGGCCTGCACACATTAAAAGGGCGAAATTCATGTGTAGAGTGCACTCCACATGGAACTGCATGGTGCCCACCTGACTGAATAAAATGATTAATCAAGGTGGTAGCCTCTCCTTCATGGTAGCGTTGATATTTACTTCGATGTTGTGCAAGGGATTTGGGTCGGGGGCATGGCAACAGACAATGCGCCTGCCAGCTGAGAGGCCACGAAGTTGTGTGTGGTACCCTTGGTTTTGGCTGACTGTGTGTTTGGTGCGTTATCATGAAATCGTGGTTCTCCGGCGACTTTGGCAGTGCGGCAGACCGATGTACGGCGACAGGGTGGAATACTAACATAGTAGGTAAAGCGTGGTGAGAAGGATGTGAGAAGTGCACCGCGGTGCTATGTCTGCGAGCGACTGCACTGGGACGTTGAGCTTCCTCCGCCCAGTGAGCCCGCATGCCCATTCGTCGTATGTCGTCATTGTGTGCAGTTGCATGTAGTCTTGTGTGGGATGTACTGCAGGACGACTGGCTTGGGCAGTGCCACGGGGACATGTTGGTAGCTAGAGTCTCTTGTTTGGGATTTGTGACTGCTACTTGTCCTTTGGTGTTCTAACTCTGGAAAGTGGCACGGGCTCCTTGAGAACAGGAGGTCTCTACTGGTTTTCCCGCTAGTATGGGGTAGTGGTGAGGTGGTGAATCCCTCATGTCAGAGACCCTCCTGTTCTAATCCCTCCGCCAACCTGGTGTTCCTACTAACCTTCGGAGCGGTCGGAAAAGAGGGTTCAAAAAAAAAAACCTTATAAACTGCGAACCCTAAACCTATGACCCTAAACCCTACGAGCCCCAAGACCTAAACCTTTTGTCCTTAACCCTGAGCCTTATAATAAAGCCCAAACCCCAAAGCTTCTTCCCTAAACCCTAAAGCCTGCAAGCCCTGAAAACCGTCAAGACCCTAAACCCAAAATTTTACACCCGCAAATCCCTAAACCCTACACCCTAATTCCTTTATAGACCTCGAAGGCACGGCTTGGATGGCGATGCCTTCGGACCCGGCGTCACCCTCGGAGAGCTGCCCTACAGGCTGCCGGGAGCCAAGAGCCGAAGAGGGTAGTTCTCTAAATTAAGGGTCCCTTTTAGGGCTCCTTTGGTCCCTTTTAGGGTTCCTTTAAAGGGGTCTAAAGGGGATTCTCTAAGGATACTATAAGGGTAGTTCTTGAAATGAGGATACCTTCTAGGTTTTGTGCTCTGAGTTAGGGTCCCTTTCAGGTCAGTTCTCTAACTTAGGGTCCTTGTAGGTTAGTTCTCTAACGTAGGGTCCCTTTTAGATCAATTCTCTCAGTCAGGGTTCCTTTCAGGTTCCTGTTTAAAGGGTGTCATAGTATTTGGGGGATCTAAGCGGGTTTAGGGTTTAGGGGCCCTAATTTGGAGAACTACCCAGGTGCGTAGGCGTTGGGGTCCAGGGGCTTCATTGGCCTCCTTATACGAAGCCTTACAGTAGAAGCCCAAAAGTTGGAAACCTCATAGCCTCAATCCTTAAGAGTAATGTATAGGGAATCCCAGCACTATTTAGCCTTAATCCGGTTTCCAACTTTATGGAGTTTACTGTAGAGTAACCCTTGCAACTACTAGTATTACGTAGAAGCTTGGATTATTCCAGCAGAATTGCTTAAAGGGGTTCCTACCATACTAGGGGTACCCTAGTTTGGGATCCCTGTAACAAGGATCCTACTATTTAGGGTCCCCTGTTTTCGGAAACTCCCGGATCTACTCCCTAAGTCCGATTTACAAGGACCCAGGACCCCTAAGCAGATGTGAGTGGTTGTCAAAATTATGGTACCTTCCGTGCTGTATTCTATTAGGGACCCAAAAGGGGATCCTAATTTTGACAACCACCCAAATAGAAACCCCTAAGCAGATGTATTGGTATCATCCCATCTTTCGTTTTGAAGGCTTCAGGAGTGCTCGAAGCTATAAAGGTTTAGGGTCGAGGGGTGCCAGAAGTTATAAGGGTTTGGGGATTGAGTTTATGAATACCCGAAGTTAAAAGGGGACCGCTTTGAGGTCCTGCAGCGTCTGCGCCTTGGAGTACGACGACGAGGCAGTGCCTCCATATGGTTTTGGGGATTGTTGGTTCAGGGTTGGGGATTGAGGGGTGGTACCGTTTTGCTCTTTTCATTTTAGGGTTGCTTTATCTAAAGATGAATAGCAGGAAAAGGGTTCCGTGATTGTTTAGAGGAGATTGGGGAAGGTAGATGTGGTTCAGGGCTTACAGGGTTGATTCGGTTCAGGGTTCGAGGCTCAGGGGATTAGGGGTTTAGGGCTTATAGGGTTTGAATCATTATTGAAGGGTTGCGGGGTTCAGGGTTTGGGGGCGCTTAGGGCTTGCAGTTGATTTGGCGCGTTCGTGCGATCTCGGCTTGGGGGCTTCTTCAAGATGAGGGGTCGCTGGTTTAAGGGCTTGAATACCTGGCAAGTTTGAACTTAATTATTTTTTGGGGGGTAAATACGGCATTCTTCAAGTTCGGGATACCTTATGTAGGCATGTTATGCTTGTGCTATAATGCGAAGCAGTGGGCCCTCTCGACGCTCTTCCGGGTCGCTTTGGCACTGAAGCTCCGATGTGCACAGGCCTTCGCTTGCGAAACGGTGGATGCCCTGGTAAAGCTCTACAAAGGCCGCATCATGCAAGTCAGCAGCCCGGTATCTCTTTGGGAGCAGTTGGGTTAGGGTTAAGGGGGAGCAGTTGTGCAGCATGGCTTCAGGCGGAATCTGATATCAGGTTGCTACAGGTATCAGGTTGCAGTAGGCTAGACGCGCTAGTCCCAGTATCGATGGCACTAGCAGTACTGCCAGTGTATGCCAGTACCATCAGTGTTAATATAGTTAATACATACCTTGCTATATATATATATATATATATATATATATATATATTATTCTGTATATATATATATATATGTATATATTGGTAATATATATATATATATATATATATATATATACATATATATATGTATATGTATAGATAGGTAGATCGAGAGAGAGGTACAGTCGCTGCGACGTAACCCCGAAACCCGAAGTGCAAGGATTTCGTGCAGCGGCCAGCAGGGGAGAAGCTGGTCTTGGCAGGACGGTCCTGTGGCGCAGCCCGGCGGCGCTGGGGATCAAACTGAGGGTTTAGCGAAGGGCCTAAATAAGTACCAATACTATTTTGGGGGTTCTTTGTTATAATTATAGTATAATGGGCCTAATGGGCCCGAAAACCCTATTCTAATCATTAAGGCCCCTACATTAAGTGCCTGGGTTTGGGGTTCAGAGTGACAAGAAAATTAAAAGGTTACTGAAAATGGAGGGTTGTTCAAGGGTTTAGGGTTGATGGGGTAGGATTTTGGGGTGGGCGAGTTTCGGGTTTTCGGCTCGGCTGTAATTTTGAGAGCTTTGGGGCCTGGGCTTTTGGGTCTGCGTTTGTGGATTCAGGGGGTGCGGTCCGACCTTCTGTATTCAGGTTTTTTGAGGATTGGGTCGTCGGCTTAGGGGATTCCGTTAAGCTAAGGTTCAGGGTTTTGGGTCTAGCATAGCGGGCTGGAAGATTGGAAAATATGTATTCTGCAGGGCTACTTAACATCACCATAGTACGATGAACCCCGAATCTGTTCTCATCAGTATTAAGGCCCTCATATTCGGCGTTTGATGCGCCAATCTCACAGGGTGTGGGTCTGTGCCAGCTCGACACTGCGACAAAAAAAGCTGTGCCGACATCCGGGGGGAAAGGTCCTATGAAATCCAGCACAGGTTGGGGCCAACAGAACATTAGGCTTTGATCGACCGTACATGCTTAACTCTAAGTTGGGGTTGTCGGTAAGATGGGCGGACAGCCCAGTCATGTATGTTTTCTACTGAATACAAGAAGTGCCTTCGTCTTTGAGCATTGACAGAAGGAATAACTTTCATCCCGGATGAAGGCACCTGTGGCCTCGTACTCAACAGCCAAGCCCCTAAACCCTATACCCAAAGCCCTAAGCCCTAAACCCTATACCCTCTACCGAGACATGGACGCCAAAGCCTGAAATTGAAACATGGTAGAATCCCTATTCGATACAACGATAAAACCCAGACCTTCCAAAATCCCTTAATTAAGGATTGTACCTTAAATTAATAGGATCCCTAATACGAATTAAGGCATATTCCTTAATTAAGGGGTTCTGGAAGGTCTGGGAACCCACAAAGCTTTCTAACTCCTGTATAGCCAGCCCAAACCCCATGAAATCCCCTAAGCCCAAACCCCGAAAACTCCGAATCTTTCATGTAAACTCAAAAAACCCCCCAAACCCCGAAACTCCGAATCTTTCACGTAAACTCATAAAACCCCCTGAACCTCGAAACTTCGGTTCTTTCATATAAACTCACAAAACCCCTGAACCCCAAAACTCCGAGTCTTTCATAAACCCCTAGCTCTTCTGGTCCTCAGAGGCACTCCTGGCTTGCCTCGCAGCCCTACGGCTCCAGGAGGTCCTTCTGTAAGGGTTACTTGGTTCGGGTTTAGGGTTTTAGGGTTCAGGGTTTTAGGGTTTAGGGTTTTAGGGTTTAATGTTTAGGGTTTAGGGTTTTAGGGTTTAGGGTTTAGGGTTTAGGGTTTTAGGGTTTTAGGGTTTAGGGTTTAGGGTTACTAACATAGGGGGCATAAATAGTTACCAATACTATTTTGGGAGTATAATGGGCCCCAAGATCCTGTTCTTATTATGAAGGCCCCTAGCAAGGGTTCATCGGTTAATCTAGGTTCTTGTTAAGGGATTAAATTTTAAGTTATACCATAAGGGGGGTCTATAAGAGCTCCTTTAAGGGATCTGTGAGGATTCCTGTAATGGTTTAGAATTTAAGTGAAGTTACCAGAATAGGGCTCTGTAGCAAACAATATGGTTTCTTGATTACACTACCTTATAACTTAAATCCTTGGTCAAGAACCCAGTAGTCCAAGGGTTACTACAGGGCCCACAGTGTTTGTGGAATGTCAGGACAATGTCCGAGCAGCCCCAGAGTGCACTGTGCAAAAGCGGGAGTCTCCGAACATCCGCGCGCCTACCTTGAACGGACGGTGTGATCACTAGTCACTAGTCCAATCCGCCTCGTCTGAGCAGCAGATTCAAATTAGCGTTTCCCGTTTTGTTTTGGAAGCTGCAGACCCCGAATTGCGAAGCCGACGGCCATAGCATCAACCCTGTACTCTAGAAGTCTTCTGAGTGTAGCTCTGCAGCCAGGAAGGTGTATGCTGCTCGCTGGTCATCCTGGATTCAGAGGCTCGCCCGGCTTCGGACGTAGAGTCGAGTGGACCGCAGGCCTACTGTAGAAGCTGAATAATCAGTGATACTATTCGTTATGGTAAGAGACCCCCAAACCCTATTCCAGATATTGAGGCCCTCATATGCTACCGGATGAACATCTGGGTGAATAGACTGGAGGTGGTGTGGCCTTCCAAGCTGGACACGACGTTTTGCTACGCTCCTTTGCGGCACTGGGCATGTGCCCCTGTAGCCCGATCACGTGACCAGTATCGGAAATATCGGGGCCTGCATGACTAGTACATGCTAGTACCCCCTGAGATGCTCCCTCTCCCCCTCTCCCCCTCTCCCCCTCTCTCCCTCTCCCCCTCTCCCCCTCTCCCCCTCTCTCCCTCTCTCCCTCTCTCCCTGTCTCCCTGTCCCGTGCTCTCTCTCTCTCTCTCTCTATCTCTCGCTTTCTCCCCATATACATATATATATATATATATGTATGCAGATAGAGAGAGATATATATATATATATATATATGTATGTCGTAGAATATGTACTCATATATCCATATACGAGTATATACAACCGTACTATGTATTTGTAGTATAATATGATGTAGCCCGAACCCGGATTGAAACTATTAAGCCATATTAAACCCAGTGACGGCTCTAGATTGGAGTGAACGCCCTAAACCCCAAATCCTAAGCCCCTAAACCCCTAAACCCTAAACCCCAAACCCTAAACCCCTAAACCGCACACCCTAACCCCTAAACCCTAAACCCCTAAACCCTAAAACCCTAAACCCCAAACCCTACACCCCATCGATCCCTTTAAAGGAACCCTTATGGATGGCTTTAAAGGAACCCTGAACCCCTAAACCCCAAACCCCTACACCGTTTCGTTTCGTAGACGAAGCCGAGGAGTGGCTGGGCAGAGAAGTGGAGGCCGACGTATCCGCCGTTGAGGGTTAAGGAGTTCGGGTATCAGAGCTTATATATGTATATATATATATATGTATGTATATATGTCAGGTGTTCAGAGGTTGAGGGTTAAGGAGTTATAGCGGTTTAGGGTTTAAGGTTCAGGGCTTTAGGGTTTTAGGGCTTTAGGGCTTTAGGGTCTAGGGTTTGGCTTTGGGGGTTTAGGGTTTGAGGTTCACGGTGGCTTTGGGGCTTTAGGGCATTCGGCCTTTAGGGGTTTAGGGTTTTAGGGTTTTCGGGGTTTAGGGTTTAGAGGTTTAGGGTTTAGGGTTTGCTTAATGCAACACGCTGTCTGACTGACGCTGACACGCTGCGTGTGTCTCTCTGTCACCATCCCTCCCGCTGTCTTTCTCGTTCTCTCTCTCCCTTTCTAGCTGTCTCTCGCTCTCTCGTTGTGTTTAGCAAACCCTAAACCCTAAACCGCATGTCGTGGATAGAGCTATCCAAACAGAGTAGAACGAGACTTCCGGCTTTTTTTTTTTGTGGATGTCTTTCGTGGCAACTCACCCCTCAAGAAAGCGCCAAACCCGGAACCCTGATCTCTGCTTGGAGGGTCGGGGGACTTACTTGGAGGCCCATTTGACTTAGTAAGTAGGGTTCCTTTAAAGGGGTCCTAAAAGGGATCTATAGGGGTTCCTTAAAGGGATCTATAGGGTTTAGGGTTTCTTACTTGGAGGCCCTTTTGACTTAGTGAGTAGGGTTAGTAAGCTGGGTTATGGGGATTATAATGGAGTTTCGAGGGGATACTAAGTAGACTTACTAAGTCAACAGGGCCTCCAAGTAGTAAGCAGGTAGTAAGTACACGTATAAGTACCCTAACGAGGGATCCTAGTTGGGGTTATGGTACTTATAATTCCAGCCCTCTCGCCTAGGCAGATGCAAGTGCGGAACTCCCCAGACCTTCCAAGATCCCTTAGTTCAGGAACACTGTATACCTTAATTCATATGAGGGATCCGATTATAATTTAAGGTACAATCCTTCATTAAAGAATATACCTCAATTCATATGAGGGATCCTATGATAATTTCAGGTACAATCCTTAACTAAGGGATTTTTGGAAGGTCTGGGTTACCTTGGCCCAAAGCTCCTCCAGGCTACACTGTGGTTGGCGCAGCTTGGGGGCGCCACTACCTTCGCCAAGGACCAGGCCGGAAGAACGACAACAAGGATGACAAGAAGAAGACCCCCAGACCTTCCAAAATCCCTTAATTAAGGATTGTACCTTAAATTATAATAAGACCCTTATATGAATTAAGGTATACTCCTTAATTAAGGGATTTTGGAAGGTCTGGGCCTTTGTTGTGCCAGTGTGTAAACTCAGCAGGCCCGTGCCGACACAGAGGAAGTTGACTATCTAAGAAAAGAAAGATCCGCACACCCATTCCTGAGCCACCTTCACTGTCACACTAGTTCTTCTGCTACTGCTGCTGCTGCTGCTGCTTGATATAATCGTTTTTACTGGTGGTGGTCGTGGTGGTGGTCGTGGTGGTGGTGGTGGTGGTGGTGCTGCTGCTGCTGCTGCTGCTACTACTACTGCTGCTAGCATCAGTTATTACCACCTCCCTGCAGATGGATTCCACTGCCCTCCCCCATGCATTGGATGCCCTTACAGGTTTCCTTTCGGTGGTTCTTCATCTCAGAATCCTCCATTGGCTTCCGCCCCTCAACAACAGAGAGGCTTTTCGTGCTGCAGAATCACCAAGTGGAGAGGGAGGTGAAGTTCTGGAGTCCGGAGCAAGGTGAGATCACTAACACAAGTTTCAAGTGCAGTTGGTGTTGTTCTGGGCAACTAATCCCTGCCCCTCCCACAAAAACCCAAACCCCTAAACTCTAAACCCGTAAACCGTAAACCCCAGCACAAGAATTTGATAAACCCACGCAGGTGCTTGAGGCCGTGACGCGAGGCAGAGCTTCACCGGTGGCCGAGGGCCCAGCGAGGCCAGCCTCGTTCTTTTCAACGTTTGGCACGTGTGTTGGGGCTTTAGGGTTCCCTAAAGGGTTCTTTAAAGGGATCTGGGCCGAAATTATTACCTATCCTATTTTGGGGTTCCTTATTATAAGTACGTGTAATAGTGTAAAGGGCCCGAAAACCCTGCTCTAATTATATTATCCCTACATTATGTAGTATCTGTGGTTTCATGTGATGATCACAGGGCTTGTAGATGTGATAGTACTCACTCTTACAGGGTGTGGGATGTAGTCGAGGGCTAGGTTTTTATTCTGGATAATCGAAGACTGCCGCTCCTCTTCTGCTTCTGCCTCCTCTTGCGACTAGCTACTACTCGTAATGCTACTGCTCAGCAGAAGACTACCTGGACGACGCAAGGACGACAACTGTTCCAACCACCGCCAGTACCAATAAGAATAGGTTTAAGATGATCTTATCTTACTGCGAAGTGCTACGGTTAAGCTATAACAACTATAGCAACCGCAGCTGCTGTCGTTTTTGCAATTGGCCTCTACCTTCAGGGCTCTTGTGAGTTTAGGGTTGGGTTTAGGGCTTTAGGGTTTTGTTATGTTTGGGGTTTAGGGGTTTGCGTTTTAGGTACTGTCTGAGACGTTTTCGCGCTGCGAGGCTTCAGACCCAGGCATACGGGCAATGCGCCCGGCAGCTGGAGGCCTGTGGCGTGCGGTCCCTGAAGGCGGGAAAGCCCCCTAAGCAAGCAAGGTTCCTTAAAGGGCTTAAAGGGGGTCTATAGGCTTGCTTAAAGGGATCTATAGGGTTTAGGGCCTGCTTGGAGGATCATGGGACTGAGTAACAAAGTCGGGTTGTAAGTAAGCTAGCTAGAGAGTTATAATCACTTATACAAGGTAACTATACCTTTAATCACTTATATCCCCAATTGAGTTACTTATGACCATGCTTACCATGTCCCATGATCCTCCAGGTAAGGCTCACTCGTCATCTCTAGGACCCTACTTTTACGTAAACCCAGCACTCATAAGAACCCGAGACCCAAGGCCTGAAGCCCTTCTGATGCCAAAGGTCCTCGCCTTTAAAGCCCCATGTGGGTAGTTGTCAAAACTAAGGTCCCTTTTTGGGGTACCCTGATTATTAGGTGCCGTACTACAATAAGGACCCAAAAAGGGACTTCAATTCTGACAACCACCCATGAATCCCCAAGACCTAAACCTCCAAGCCCCTAAACTTCATGAGTACTCTTGACGATTGATACTCCTTAGGGGAAGCCTTCTGAATAAGGACTTTAGAACAACAAAGCAACAAGAACTGGACTTCGCCCCAGGACTTCCGGAACATCTGTACATTGGCAAGCTCGAATGCCGAGCGCTTGAGAGCCTTGTCAGCAGTTCTTGTAGGGCTTCGCTGGGTTAAGGCATTAGGCTTTGGGGTTTGGGGCTTTGCGTTCAGGCTTTGAGCTTTCAGAGTCCAGGGATTCAGCGTTTAAGGGCTTGGAGCTTTAGGTTACTGTAAAGGTTACTGGTGCTACAAGGAGTTTTGACAAGGTTTTAATACGTGCTATTTGTAGGGGCCAGGGAAGGGTTCTATACTTGACTGTACAAAGGTTTAGGGTTTTAAGAATCTAGATCTTCCTCAAGCGCCCTCTAGAAGCTAATGCAAACCCAAGAGAATTCTTTTGGGGGAGTTTCAGAGTTTACGGCTTAGGGTCCAGTTTAGGGCTTATAGGATTTTAGGACCCTGAACCCTAAACCCCAAATCCTTGAAACTGGTGCCTTGGCTTTGCTCTCCATCTGAAGAGAGTATGGAAACCCACTCAGGGAAGCTATGAGCCCCTTACTTAAAGGATCGTGGGACTTAGTAAGTGGGGCTATAAGGAAGGTAACTATACTTATAAGTACTTATAACCCCAGTTAAGGCACTTATAACCCTACTTACTAAGTCCCATGATCCTCCAAGTACAGCCTCATAGAACCCTACGACCTCTTGCTACAACCAAAGCCCTGAAACAAGACCCCAAACTCTAAAAGCCCCCATCAACCTAACTCTTTTTTTTAAAAAGAAGGCAAGTTCGACTGCCCGAAAATTGAAACTTGTCAAGTAATGGAACCTGAAGCCCCTTTAGAGCCCCGCATGGTCCTGGCAGGAAGTCTCGCACAACCCCTTCGTAGAAGCCTTGTGGAACCCGGATAGTACCTTTTAGAGTCCCGGTAGAATCCTCAACCGTTACAGAACCCACCAAGCAGCTTCGTAGCCCAAGAAGAACCCTAAACCCTAAACCCCAAACCCTTTTCCCGAAACCCTAAACCCCCAAACCCCTAAACCCCTAAAGGCCGAAAGCCCTAAAGCCCCAAAGCCCTAAAGCCAAAAAAAGCCCTGAACCTTAAACCCTAAACCCCTAAACCCCCAAACCCCGAATCTCCTAAACCCTTAAACCAACCTAAGCCGGGTTCCTTAAAGGGTTCCTTAAAGGGATCTATAGGGGTTCTATACGGAGTTTTCCTTAAAGGGTTCCTTCAAAGGGATCTATAGCGGTCCTAAACCCCTAACCCTAAGCCCGAAACCCTAAACCTCTGAACCCCCAAACCCCTATAATTTCCTAAACCCTTAAACCAACCTAAGCCAGCCTTTTTCGGGGGCCGGTTCCTGCAGCTCAGGGCAGCTTTTAGTCCCCGAGGCGGTCCGGAACTGAGAGGCTTCCAGAGACTCCAACGTGCCCCATGAGGGTTCTATTTTGGGTACGGCCCCCACTCAGTAATGGTTGAATAATATTCATAATATAGATATAGTAGGACCTTATTAGTAGCCCTATTCTAGACTCTTACTGTACGGGGGCCGTACCTAAGTTCTACTTTTTGCTGGCTTAGGGTGTATAGGGTTTGGGGTTTAGGATTTAGTGTTCAGGGTTTGGGTTTAGGGTAGAGGGGTTTAGGGCTTCAACAAAGGGTTCTATAAGGGTTTCCTATGACGGTTCTATAAGGGCTTAGGGTTTCAGACAGGGTTCCATTGTGAGGCAAGTGGGGTTTAGGGCAGGGTGGGACAAGCATGTTTGTTGGGTTCGGGTTCAGGGCTTCAGAGCTTGGGTCGTTTAAAGGCTTTAGCACAATTTGGGTTTAGGGCTCAGGGGCGAAATGCAGTAATTTTGCAATAGTGGTTGAAATAGGGTTTGGGGATATGGTGTAGTATCAGTAAACGTGTTGCTGTTACTGTGATCATGGCCACCGTTGGGTTCGTGGGCGTTTTGTCGATAGCCTTATGCATGCTGCCACTATCCAAGGGTAAAAGGAGGGACCCTTAATAAGGACCCCTAGGATACCCTTAATATAGCTATTATATACCCATTATATAGCCCATTATAGGGTAGGGGTCCCCATTAAGGGTCCCTCCTTTTCCCCTTTGACACTACTGGCGTTAGAGCCCCGCTTCCCTGCTCTGCTTGCGAAAACACAGGACCTTCACCCCTCAATCCCAAAGCCCGAAACCACCAAATGCGTTAAATCCTAAATCCTAAACCCTATCCGCATCCCTGCAAGGACCTCATAGTTAGGGCCCTAGACCTCTTAAGGACCCCATAATAAGGTCCGTGGAGGCATAGAGCCATAAACCCTTCTAAGCCCTACACTGTCCCCCAAGGGCTCGCAGAGGGGCCTCGCCGGCTTCTTCGAGGGCAGGGCGCTGATCATCGCAGGCGGGGCCGCCGAATGCATCGGAGCCCGTTCACTTCATCATCATTAGGGTTTTTGGTTTAAGGGTTGAGGGTTTAGGGTTTAGGGTTAGGGTTTAGGGTTTAGGATTTCGGGTTCTATAGTCTCCTTAGGAATTGTTTTCGTTTTTGTTCATATAAAACCAAGAGAATATTAAGAATGTCATTTTTATTATGGTTCTAAGGGGGGTATAGGGTTGAGGGCTTCGGGTTCAGGGTTGCGGGTTAAGGGTTGAGGGCTTAGGCTTTGTCATTGTCATTATTGTGAGTAGAATATGACTGTTGGTTTCCACTTCATGATCCTGAGTTGTTGTTAGACTTATTGTAGTTTTTACTCGCTGATAGTAGTTGTTACTGTCACGATGGTTAGTTTTACGAATCGTTACGCTTATACTATCACTGCTGCTTTCTCCGTTCGTTTATGAGTAGTGAGTAGTATTCTTCTTCTACCTAGCATTGTTGTTATTATCATGACGGTGTTTTTGACATTACCAGATTAACTGGTACTGCTGATATTACCACTATCAGTCCTTGTTCTTATTCTTCTTCGTGCTTCCGCCAGAATTTGGGCAGTGCATTCTTTGTTCTGGCGTACACATACGGTTTTGGGGGTATTTTGGCTTCATGGAGGGGTCTGCAGAGGTGCTCCGAGATGGGTTTTTCGTTATGTGCGGCTTGGACTGTCGTCAGGTGCTGTTTCATACTTCGGAGTCAACGCTGCCATACTTTGCATGTCGAAAACAAATAATATATGATTCCTAAGTACTAGTACTATCTGTCAGAGCGATCGCGCACACGCACAAACAAACTCTTGGCTTTAGGTCTGAGGGTTGGGGTTTAGGCTTCAAAGCTTGGGGTTTGGTGTTTGGGGATTAGGGGCCTGGGCTTGGGGGTTTTGGAACCCTACAAATGTTAGAACTGTTAGGGTGTGCGGTGTACTGTAGGGGTCCATTCTAGTCACTTCCTCCATTCCTGTGCTGCTATACTATGCTATACTATACTGAGATTACTACTATGTGCACCTGCCCTGTTCCGGTCGTTGCGGCTCCTACATCATTGCAGGTTTTAGGTTCAGGAGCCGTGAGCGAACCCTATCCCTATGCCCTGAATCCCAAGCCCAGACCCCAAAAGAAGCCTAGACCCTAAGCCTCGGAAGCTGCCCCCACCCTGTAATAGTGACTATAAGGATTATATTGGGGCCCTATTATATTCCTATTATACCACTATTACAGGGTGGGGGCCCCTTCTAACCTGAGCCCGAACTCCGAAGCCCAAACAAGTTAGGATGTCTGAGTCTCACAGGCAGCGAGGAGCGGGAAGCTCCCTTGATGTGGCCGTGGGCTTGTCGGTGGAGGGTTTAGTCGCGGGGTTGTGGCTGTACGGAGTGCTGGTGGTGGGCCTGGGATGCGACCTGGATAGGTGTGCAATGATGATATAACGAGGAAGCGCGAGGGGAGTAGCAAGCATTACATCGAATTATCTTTGCAATAGTCCACTGCCGTGCATGCTTGTCTCAGTGCATATTACCGGTCAAATTAGAGCTGTTCCTGCACTGCATTCTTCCTGCACTACTACCACAGCCACGACAACAGCAACCACCACAACTCATACTGCGCTGCTACTCATTCTCGTGCTGCTGCTGCTGCTGCTGCTGCTGCTGCTGCTGCTGCTGCTGCTGCTGCTGCTGCTGCTGCTACTGCTACTTTGCTGCTACTGCTACTTTGCTGCTGTTACTCCGACGAGCAAGACAAACCCAACTGGGCATCGCAGGAATAGGCATGACAGGATGTTTTGGATAGCACGGCCTCAACCCTAACCCTCAAATTTGAGTCTTTGTCGTTTGTGTGGATGCATCACTACGGAGCTTCTCCTGGGTTGTTGTTCATCTAGTTATAAATACATAATATCATACAGTCTTACATTATTAGATGAGACTATCTTAGCCTTATATTATACTATATCATATCATATTATGTTATATGTATATGTAGGTATAATGCTACCTAAGTCACTCTTTAGCAGAATACAGCATGATCGAGTTTATAGATATACATATATATATATATATATAGATGGAGCAAGAAGGTCATATATGTATATGTGTGGAACAAGAAGTGTAGCACGTGCACAAGTCCCTGTAAAAGTCTGTGGACCTGTAGTTTTGCTTTTGCAGGTAGGAGATCCCGTGAGCTCAATCTTTGTGCCCTAGGTGTGCGAACCCTTTCCTCGGAGATCTAACCGTGCAAGTGGCCGGCGATGGGGCGGAGCTCTACGTGGTCGGGCTGGCTTGTGCCCGAAAGCGCAGCTTTCTCCCTCAACTCCTGTGTGTGTTTGGGGTTTCGCATCCATGGAACCCCGAAAGCCTAAACCCTTCACGGTCTATATTGAAATAGCAGGCTCTGCTGCAATCGATGACCATTGATAACGGTCGAAAAGCAAGGCTGTCTCGGAGAAGAGCGGCAATGCTAACAGAAAGAGCCCAGTGACCCCAACCCGACAAAACCCAAACCCTGAGCCGCAGTTCTAAAAGCACTGATATAGGGGCCTTGATCATTACCAACACTATTTGCTGGGGCTCCGTATTACAAGTATGGTATAATGGGCCCTAAACCCCTATTCTAGTTATTAAGGCCCTCAAATTATAGAACCCTACTATACATCCCCTTACAGGAACCCTTGAAAGGATCCCATTACAAGAACACCCTACTCTAATCATTAAGGTCCCTATACAACCCTAAACCCTAGACCCTAAACCAGGGTGACGCCGCGGCCGCCGTGGTGGCGGCGATCGCCGACTTCTTGAGCGGGCCAGTGCAGGCCTTCGGCGTTTTTAGTTGAAGAGATCCTTGGGGATCTTTCACGGTAGCCTAGGGCCTAGGGTTCCTTTACGGGGTGCTTTAAGGGTCGTATAGATTTTTCTTAAGGAATAATCGGGCTGTTGGTCTCTGATAAGAAGACTCAGAACAAGACATATAGTGGTAATAATCGTCGTCATGGTAGTAGTAGTAGTAGTAGTAGTAGTAGTAGTAGTAGTAGTAGTAGTAGTAGTAGTAGGAGTAGTAGTAGGAGTAGTAGTAGGAGTAGTAGTAGGAGTAGTAGTAGTAGTAGTAGTAGTAGTAGTAATAGTAGTAGTAGTAGTAGCAGTAGTAGTAGTAGTAGTAGTAGTAGTAGAAGTAGTAGTAGTAGTAGCAGGAGTAGTAGTAGTAGTAGTAGCAGCAGGAGTAGCAGCAGTAGGGAGGAGGAGTAGGCGTAGAAGCAGGAGCAGTAGCAGTAGCAGCAGCAGCAGTATCATCATCACACTCGCTGCGGACGGTAAGGTCGCAATGCGCTGATTGGAGCAGGAATCACCTGGCGCACAGTGGCGCACGATCACACTTGGATCGTCTCGGAACTAACTACGTTGTGCCCCGAAGGGCCTATGTGGAAGTGGCAGCACTCCTCAGTCTGTATACGAGTATGTAGCTGGAGGTGGAAAGGGCATCCAGGCGAATGGATTGTGCAGCTCTGTTGTCATCGGTGTAATGCCAGAGGGATGTAACATCAGAGCGAGGCTTGAGTGCAGCACGGTAGTGCCCCGTGACCGTAGTAGGTCCGATGTGCTGGACAATCGCTTGAAGCTGATAAGTTCTCCATATGACTTCAGTGGAGGTGGGGATCCATTGAGGAAAGAGGACTTCCTGATCTGCTTCGATGCGATGGTCACTTTTGGTAGCAATGCCCCGCTCATTGCAGAATCTGTTCAGCTGTACAGCCACAGCTTCAGTACCTGAGATCAAGGCGTGGCGACGTTTCTGCGAGTACCAACGATTGATGCAGGACTGGGCTGAGGTAGCAACGGCAGTAGAGGCATCTTGAATACCAGAAAGGATGAGTGGACAAACCCCGCCTTCATCCTGGAGCACTCTGCGGTCATCATAAGATTGCCAGAGGCCTTGGAAGCAGGGTGCATTTAACACCTGGTGAAGGTGTAGTAGGAAGTCCGCGGCATCGTGTTGTCTGGCAGGATTAGTCCAGCGCCGGAGTGCCTGTCGCCATGGTAGAAGGGACCATAGCGTCAGTTGTTGCTGCTTGCGCGCCTGCGCAATGAAGCTCCTTATCGGTTCCCGGTCCAGTACCTGAAGGGATGAGGTTGACAGGGACACAATCCAAAGATAGGTCAGGAGGCAAGCGTGGGAGTAGCAGTAGTTGGATGGGTTGTGAAGCCGCAATATCGGAAGTAATGCTGAGGTCTCGGCTGCTGACGTGGCATGGGAATGTTCATGGATTGCAAGAGTGTCTGGAGCTGCTGCGCCAGGGCTGATCGTTGGAGGCGATCCGGGCGAAGGGTGCAGCCCACCATGAGGAGAGAGGAGTTGTGCGAGAGGAGCTGGAGTAGCTCCCAAAATCGGGCTGTCTGCTCTCCTCGCCATCCCACTTCCAGAAGCCAGGTGACTGTGCTTCCTTCCATCTTCTCCTCCAGTTGCCTCGTGGCGTGAAAGCGATTGAGCAGCTGTGGCTGCACACTCAATATCGCCAGCTCCTGAGCCACCTCCACCACCTTCTGGGCCAGTAGCGGCTCTCTGTCCGGGATGGCTTGCATGGCACCTTCCTTGTTGTTCCACTTGCGGTAGCCAAATCCCGTATTCGGGTTGTACAGCTCCATCTGAACAGCCTGTTCCCGTGCGTCCGCCTGGTCTATCACCTTCTGCGCACGCTGCGCCAACTCCATCATCAGCTTCTGCCATAGGATGATGCGCATCGGCTGCGTGATGGCGTCCGGGTTGTTCCATCGCAGGTCGTGCCAACCTTGGGCTGTGGCGAACAGCTTGGGGAGGATGGTGCTTTCCGTCTGGGTCGTGAGGAAGAGAATCCAGGTGGTGGATTGCTGAAGCACCGAGAGGGCGTCCTCGTGTCTCATGAGGAGCCTGGCCATGGTGTGACACATGAGGTGGAGATCTGGGCCGGAAGTAGGCCCGTATCCCTGTCCTTGGCGCTGCCAGGGAGGCTGAGGATGGTACCCGGAGGGGCGACCTCCTGGCCGTCTTGGTTGTCCGCCTTGGTGGGGAGACCGTCCTGCTGGTGCCGACTGGTTCGGATGGCCTCGGCCCGCCGCGCCTTTCCCTTTGCCCGGAGGAGGGGCTCCTTTGCTGTTGTCGCGGTGCCACTTGGAGGGTCTGCCCGCTGTCTCTTCCGCCGGTGGGGGATGTGAGGTGTCCATTGGTTCGCTCTGGGCGGGGAGGTCGGCTGCCTTCGGCGCCGGTGACGGAGGGTTCGGGATCAGGCGTACCTGTGCCTCGATACTCTTGAGCTCCATGGTCGCCTCCTCCAGGTCCTCCGGGTTGACTTGATGGGTGTTGAACATCGAGGGCAGAGTCATGTCGGACCTGGGCCGTGTGAGCAGTACTGTGCATTTCGAAGGTGGCTTGCAACAGGTGGACCAGGAACAAAACTGCGCACTCAGTGGCGTGCTTGATGGGTGCTCCCGTAAGAGACAGGCTGCAGTAGCGACAGGTTTTCCCCAGGGCCAAAAGCCTGCGGTGGGTCTGCATGCGGCGGACTGCTTCTTCACAGCATGCAATCATGGGAGGGTGCTTGGCTTTAATGTGCGCGCGGAGGCCGCGGGCTTGGGTCAGCCATTGGTGGCAGTACGGGCAATGTTGCACTGCCTGAGGAAACGCCTTTTTCATCCAGGAGGCAAGCTGTTCCCAGGTGCCTAGGAAAAAGGGGTGGCACTCGGATCTATGGTAGAGCGGTGTTGGATTTAGGTTGAGTTTTGGGGGTAAAGTGTGAAAGCCGTCTGGTACAAGGGTTCGGCAGGATTTCGTGGATGTTTGCACGCGCAGGTTGTGCCAGGAATCACACTGCCGAAGGCAGTGTCGGCATTGCGGTAGACCTTCGCGGCCATGTTGCCAAACAAACAGGGCATGTTCATCCGCCGCAAATGCGGGCTTGGGGACCAGGGTCGTGGCCGCGTCGGGATCCATGGTCACCGCAGCAGCTGAAGAGGAGGATGGAGGTGGACCTGCGGCAAGGGTAGGTGTGGTGGCAGGGGCTGATTCCGGCGCAGGAGTTGATTGTCGGACCTGTGTCTGGTGGGACTTGCGCAGCACAGCTTGCAGCGTGCTGTAGCCGACCCCGCAGATCGGACAGCATAGCGGTCTATAGCTGAGGGTCCGGTGAGATCTGAGTCGATGACAGCAGATGTGGTCGAGTAGTCCTGCAACTGATCGAACCAGGTCTCCTGCGCATCGGTCGGGAATTCTGGAGACTGTTGAAGGTGGCGTTGGATACGCTGATCCAAGGTGTCTCCCGGCGACTCAAGGTGGCTGCGACGAAGGAGTTCGCACGAGGTGACCTTGGTAACATGGCCCGGGAGTTTGTGTATGAGTCGGAGTTGGGCGTGGACAAGTTGGGAGAGGAGTGTGCGGGAATGAGGGGTTACACCTGTGGCCTCAAGGGAGTAGAGGGCGACTGGGTAGACACAAGTCTTCCAAACTCTGATTTTGCTTTCCAGGGTTAGGGCCCGGCAGCGGAGGACTTTGGCCAGTCGCCAGTATGCCTGCCATCCGAGGTGCAGACGATGCTGCAGATTGAGGGTCTCGTGGCTCTGGTATGCTATTCGAGCTCCCAGGTACGTGTGATCCTCCACTATTTTGATGGGCATGATACTGCGACCAACTCGGAGCTTAATGGCAGTTTCGCCTGTGTCCAGCTTCGTGAGCCTGGGGCGTAGAGTGCTCCGGGCCGCGGTTCCTTGTAGGTTTAGCAAGAACACCGTTTTTGTAGGCGAGACGCGGAGGCCTGAGTCGTGGAGGAGCTGGATGAGCAGCCCTGCGGCACGCAGGCTGGAGCGGAATTGCTCCTGGGTGCGTATGGTCCAGGAGGCCCAAATGTCGTCCGCATAAAGAGTGGGTTCTCCCAGCAGCTCCTTCTTCTGGTTGGTGATCTCCTTGAACCTCAGATAGAGCGTGGTGGTGGCCATGGACCATAAGAGGGGTGAAAGTCCGCATCCTTGGCGAATCCCTTGCGAGAGCGCGACCTCTTCGTGGTGTCCCGCCAGTTCAAAATTGAGCACGGCTTGGTCATGTATATGCAGTGCGAGCGCCACTTCCTCAGTGGTTAGCCCAGCGGCCAGCATTGATTCCACAAGCTGGTGTCTGGGCAACGAGTCAAAGGCTTTGTCGACATCAAGGCTGAGTGAGAGGCCGCCAGCAATCTGGCTTGGTGTCGCCCCTGAATGGCGCAAGTGGCGTTTGGGGACAGCCGCGGCCGCCAGGGTACGGGCCTCATGGAGGTGGCTGCAAACTCGGCTGATAGCGTCGGTGGTGCTGCGGCTACGTACATAGGCGAACTGAGGTGCCTGGCGGATGTAGGTCTCTGCTCTGTCCCTGATGCGGTCTGCCAACATCATCGCAAGTATCTTGCTGCCTGGAGGGAGGAGGCAAATGGGGCGTAATTGTTTCGGAAGTCGTGCCCTGGAAACCTTCGGGATGAGGCATACATGCACGCGGTGCCAGTCCTCCGGGAGATGGTAGGAAGGGGGCAGAAGGCAGTGGTGTAATCCCGCGGCAATGTCCTGTCCTATGGCATCTGAGGCAGCCTGCCAAAGTCTCGCCGGCACATAGTCCGGGGGAAGTGCCTTCCGGACTGGGAGACGAGCAAGGGCACTAGTTACTTCTGCATCGGTGAAGCTGATGTTCGTGGTGGGCTGGGGTGGAGCGGGGCAGGTTTTGGCAGTTTGATAGAGACTCTCGAAGTGCTGACGGATAGCTTTGAGCTCGTCTCGTGGAGCCATTAGCATTCCGTCGCTATCGCGAAGTTGAATGCGAGAATGTCTG